GGGGGGGGGGGGGGTGGCAGGGGGTGAGGGATTTGCAATCTGACCATGTTTCATGTCACACCCTAAATATGGGTGTAACATAAAACATGGTCAGAAAAGTGAACTTTAAGCTTCTGAACACTGTACAAACACTGTTCAGAAGCTTTCTATTACACAGAAGTGGCTGTAGCCACTGCTGTAATACTAGGAGAAATGCCCTGCTGTTATTTTGACTGGTGGGACATGCCAGCAACCAAGGTCAAGTGTCAGAAGACATATGTTCTGTGTACTTCGGGTTAGTTTTTTTTGGGACTACATTGTACGTTTAAAGTCCCCAGCTAGTGGAACCGTACATTAAAGTGCTCTGTTATGAAAACAGAAATATATAACACTGTTAGCAGGTAAAAGTGTGGCAGTTTTAACTGCTAAGTAAACAGCCTTTGCTATTTTAGTAAATCAAGCTGTTATAGCTTTCAGTTTGAAAGAAGTGGTAGGAAAGCTGAGCTCTAGCTCATGAGAAGCGAGCTATAGGCTGAATATGCAGGGGCAGATCTCTTGTTAACCAGATTAAGTGGATATGTAAACATATTCCAATCACTATAAGAGTATTCCCATAAACACACCTAGATGTGAGGATTCTTATACATAAGAAGCAGTTCAATCAGCAATATACATTTACTAGTAGGGTTACAAATGTACAAATAACACACAAAACAATATTTACAAGAAATTGTACAGTACAAGTATGGTGGTGTTTTACCTCTCATCTTCACGCCTGTTCATCCTGAATGCCTTTGTGTCCTAGGTAAAAAAAGAGAGCACATGAGGAGCGGAAAATATGTCTGGAAGAGAAGGTGGTAAGAAGAAGCCCTCGAAGCAGCCTAAGAAATCGACCAAGGATTTAGACGAGGAGGATGTCGCCTATAAGCAGAAACAGAAAAAGCAGAAAAAGCTGGATGAGATGAAGAATAAGGCTTCCCAGAAGGGGCCTCTGTCTGGCGGCGTGATAAAGAAATCGGGAAAGAAGTGAGGGGAATTTTGTACGTGACTTGTTCCTGTTGTGGAGTTTGAATTGCAAAGATGTTCCCTGAAGTGACAACTCGACAGATCTCTTGTATGTTTTGTGTACAGCGATAATAAACGAGTGTTTGTTTTTTCCTTTCATTTTTTTAATGCAGTGGCATCTGTGACTAAAGCAATGTTAATTATTTGTTAAAATAATGATGACTAATAATAATGACTCTATAAAATATCTTATGTCCCCTCCTTTCTGTACAGTGGATACCAAATGTAAATGGGGCACAACCTAATTGGAGGATTTAAAATGCACTTCCACTTTTGCAGTCAAATTTAGGAAAACCCCTCCATATCTTTGTTATGTGTTCCTATTCACACAGCATACTGAAAAATAACTTTTCAAAAAAATTCTTACGTTTTTAGATGTTTTGTTAAATCAGGCAAGATGGCTGATTCTGGGTTTTTCTTAGCTCTTTCACAGTGGTCTGACCCAAATGGAAAGTCTTGGAACAGAAATTTTAGGATTGTGTTTATCTGATAAACTTAATTAACACACAATGTGCAAGCCTTCTGTGAATGAACGAGACCCCTCAACCATCAAACCCCATACTAACATTTTAAAATAAATAGAAGCTCAAGTAAATTTGAACCCTTAAAACACTAAGTCAAGTAAAAACAATTTCAACTGCAAGAAGCATTTTTTATTTGTGTTACCTTATGTTATGAGAATGGGAACAGGTAACAAACATAAAATAGGTGTTATCCCAATTTGGCTCGAAAGTGGAAATACACTTTAAATAGGGTTGCTGTTTACCACCTGTGTGTGATGTGATAAACAACCAAAACAATAGCCAGGCCTTAAGTGAAAAGCCTCACAGTAACACAATTGTGAAGCTGGGATTCGCATAACATGCAGATAGTTAGAGTCAATGGTTTACATACTGTATATACACTTATATCAAAATATATCTAATGAAGATATTACACAAGCAAAACTTTATATGGTAACACTCTATAGTGGATTTGCTGTTTGTGCACATAGAGAAAGAGTCTAAGAACATCAAATCAGAAGAAAATACACCTCAAGAGCATTCAATTTTCACTGTTCACACACAGCCACATCTTTATGCATTGTGCAAAAAATCCCTAAAATAATTAGTAATTGTTGGTTATTTCACAAAGAACAACTGCAGATGCAGTTTCACTGGATGAACAGCTATGCATATTTTTTTTAAATTATTAATAGACCATGTGTATCCCAATTTGTAATGGCAAATACAATACAATAAATGAAAAGATAGGAAGATGAAGATATTTGTAAACTACATGAACTGTGTGAAAGCAAACACAGTTTTCATTTCAAAAAAAGCTGTAAAAGGTATTTTAGTAAAAATGTTGTTGTTTTGGAAACTGGGCAGATTTCACTTCTGCATTATTATTTCTTGAGAATATAACATTTTTTATATAGAGGCTGTAAGTGCTGAGTTGACTGGCATTTATATTTGAAAATAAAAACATCTGTGCTTTCCATTATTATGTAAATAATATGTTTTCTTAGGTTTGAGAACATTACATGTGTGCAACCAGGATTAATTTTTTTAAATAATGAGTAGTTTTATATTTATTTGTGATGCTTTTAAAGGGTTGAAATGGCAAACTGTCTACTATTTCTGTTATCTACAAAAAAAACAAGCTCTGTATTAGCTATTCATAGGCGCACATAGCTTTTTCTTCTAGAAGTGCAGCTTGTAGGACATTTTTTTATTATCAGTATGACAGTTTTGAGTGACATTCAATAGGTATATACAGTATCTAGTCCTCTCGATTTTATGATTCATTTAATTTATCTTTATTCATATACTATTGTTTATAGCATCATGCTAAACAGAAACTCATGTTGAGAGAAACACATAGCCATTGCTGACCTTGTTTTAAAAATGCTATTGCCTGACTGATGCAAAAATATGTGTGTACCCAAAACCTTTGTTTAGTCTTGGACAGCGTAGAGAAGGGCTTAAAGTGACACTAAAGTCAAAGATTTTGTCCCCTCCCCCAATGTTAATTAAATGATGTTTCTTAATCCGATCTTCTTCTTTCCTGTCGATTTCAGCTGTCCCTCCAGCACTGCTGCGGGTCTACGATCCAGCACTGACACCTCCGTCCTTGCTGGCACTTCCTGTCCCACAGTGTCTGCATGCGGGTGCACGACGTCCATAGTCTTACCTTGTGTCTCTCCTTGTGTCTCTCCTTGTCTCCAGGCTGAAAATGTGAACTGCGCATGCGCCCGCCCCAAGATGCTTTGCGGCCGCCCGAGAATTTTCACATTTTCGCGCGGGAAAGACACAGGTAAGTCGCTTTTAAAGGGTTTTCTTTTTTTTTTACGCTTGTTCACACCAATTGCTGTGCGTTCCAGAGCAGTAGCTGCTGGAATGCACAGCAATTGCTCACTAAACTTCTCCCTTCGTTCTGGGGCAGGAGGGGGCGTGGCGGTGCATTAAAGTCAATGGCACCGCAGCCACGCCCCCCCACCCATAGTGTGATCGGACATGTGGCAAAACATTGCCTGCATTCTGGTCCACTTTGAATGCTACAAATAGAGCTTTCAGCATTTTTTTGCATTTGCAGTGGAATGGAATGCAGGCAATGTATTGCCACAAGTTTGATCGCACTGCGGGCAGGGGGCGTGGCTGCGGTGCCATTGACTTCAATGTACCACCATGCCCCTTCCCCCTCAGAACGAAGGGGGGAGTTTAGTGAACTCATGCTGACACTGTCCTTTCTGGAGGGTGGCTACTGTTGTTCCCCATGGCCCCTGTGTATGTTGTAAAGTAGCCACTGCTCCAAACTCACTCCCGTGATGGACTACAATCTCATTACAAATTGGTAAACTAAATGTGAGATTGTAGTCCATCATGGGAGTGAGCTCGGAGTGGTTACAACACACACAGGAACCATGGGGACAAAAGTAGCCACCCTTCAGAAAGAAGGACAGTGTCAGCATGAATTCAGAGATGATTTGAGAATGTAAAGCCAAGTGATGCAAAAATAAGCTACATTTTCATTAATAGTGAAAGTACTAGAATGCATGTTTAAGATTTAGCTCTTGAGTTTAGTGTCACTTTAAGCTGCATGCAATTCAGGTCAAATTCAGCCTTTACTTGTCATACGCCACAGTTTACATGTCAATGCAGCTGCATGCTTTTGCATAGAAAATTTAGCATTTGACTAGAACTCTTATTGACTTGAACCCTTAGTTTGCAAAACACACAATTTGCATCTTTTTAACCCCTTTGTGACTGACGACGTACAGTGTACCTCGCCAACATCGGGGCTGTTTAAACAGACTGTTTAAACTTGTAAAGCCGACTGTCGGCTTTATAACAGAAGCGATTCTGGCGAGTTACCTGTCGCCAGATCGCTTCTGTGTCCCGTAGAAGGGGCCGCCCCCCTCCGCCGGACACAGCCACCGTGCTTCCCGGGCTCCGTTGCCCCTCCTACGGGCCCGGGACCGGCTTCCTTCATGTCGGCTGGGAGCTGGGGAGGAGATTGACGAACTTCCGTTCATCTATCCCCTCCCCGTTCTATGGGACCGGGAGTGATGCAGATTGCATCACTTCCGGTCCCTGGGCTGTCAGTTCTGGGCTCCTGCAGCACAGCTATAAGCTTTTGAAGTGCGATCTGCACTTCAATAGCTTATTTCCAGTGTAAAGGTGACACTGGGGGTCTTTTGGACCCCCAGCATCACCTTAAAGGGTACCTGTCACCACTATCTGCTATCACATGGGGGGGGGGCTTGTAACCCCCCTATGTGATAGCAGTCAAAGTAAAGTAAAAAAAAAAGTGTTTTAAATTAAAATAAAATAAATCTAATAATAATTAAAAAAAATTAAAAGTCCCCCGCCCCCGTGAGCACACGCGCCGCCACGTAAACAGGTGTCGGGTGCGCCTACGTATGAAAACGACGAACGCGCTACACATGTCGTGTATTGCCGCACACGCCGGAGTGAGAGCAATAATTCTAGGGCCAGTATTTTGGGGTATCTCTAAATTGATGACCTGTGGGGGCTTTTAAAGCATCTTCTATGGACTTTTCGGGGTACTGCAGTTTTTCGTTGTTTCACGGACGCACGCAATTTGTAACCTGGGCATGTTGGGTATCGTTTTACTCGTTGTAACCTCATATTTTATATTTCATATATGGGTTTTTTGTTGTGTTTTGGGGCATTTAATTAAATTTTTCACTAAATGTTGGGGTTTCATAAGGAACCACCATTTTATTCTATAGGGTCTTGGCATTCAGAAAATATATAATGTTTGGGGGTTTCAAGTCATTTTCAGGCCTAAAATGTGGAATATAACATGGGTGCAAATAATGAAAAAAAAAGCCTCAGTCATGAAGGGGTTAAAGGATTTACAGGTCGTCACTTGACTGTTTTCAGAATCCTCTCCCAGGACAATGGATGTGAACTAGCAGTTCATACACATCATCACTGGATGCTGATAAAACTTCACCTACTATCACCCCTTGCTGCTGTTCATTCTGTTGTTGGAGGCATCAATAAAGAATGAGGGGTGGTGATGGCTATGACATTGCCTCGCTGGGAGTGGCGAGGCAATGTACATTGACAAAGATGGGCAGCTGCTTGCTGTTGTCATTTCAGCAGCCACCTTCTAGCATCATTAGTCACCTTTGGTAAGTGCTGGCACACTACCATTACTTCAGATCTACAGGTTTGTAACCAGGAAAATTAAAGGATTTTTTTGTGGGGGGGAGGGGTTTATGTTGGAGAGTGGTGAGTTTTTCTTCTTAGCTAAGACCCTCAAATGGAAGAATGGTTTCAAAAAGCCGCAGATTATTTTATATAGAGATTGTGTAGAATGAAGGAGTTTATTTCTTTTTTTACTAATTCTTTTTATTGATTGTTTTTCTCTATATGAGAGTTTCTTATTAATGTTGTTTGTATGTGTATATTGGCACATGTTTAGTAAAAAATTAATAAAGATATAATTTTTTTAAAGGACATTTTACAGTGATACATGCATACAGCAACATATGCAGCCTTCAATAGTACATTTTGAAATTTTTAGCAAAAAATAAATAAAAATGAAATAAAATAAAAAATACCTACTTGGTTTCAACT